GCTCCAGGAACAGACCAGGGCCAGGACAACCGCCCCGCACCCCCTCCTCCAGGCGGGGGGAGGGGGGGACGCTGGAAGAGGAAGCGGGGCCCCTGGGGCAGCCCAGGCCACACTCGCTTCTTTCACCAAAGGCAAACTTCCCTTTGCAAAGGCAAGCATCTGCTTCCCAGAGAAACAGGTCACCGCCAGGGACGCCGGCCAAGCCCTGCTCTTTATCTGGGCCTTGCCAGGGCATCGCACAGGCTCCGCGCCCCCACCAGCCACACGCCTCCTCCCCCCTCCCTCCCGCGACCAGGCCACACGCCTCTCCCCACACACACCCCTCTTTCTCTCCCCTCCCCCCCTCCCCGGGCTCCGGCTGCCGCTCTAACGGCCGGACCCGGCCGCGCGGCGCGGGGAGCCGGGCACAGAGTCGGGCTTTGCTCGCGGGCAGTGAGTCGTGAAGGCGCCTTTGTTGGCCGCGCGTGCAGTGCGCGTGCCGCCCAGCCGCCCGCGGCGCCCGGCGGGGGCCGGGGCTGGAGAGGGGAGGCCGCTAATGGGCGGCGGGGCAGAGGACAGCGAGAGAATTAGGGGATGGGAGGGGGAGTGTGCAACCGTCAAACAAAGTTCAAAGGAAGAGAAGAAGGTGGCCGGACAGGGCTCAGCGGCGAGCTGTCCTCTCCCTGAGTTCCACTACCTCCGGCCCCGGTCCCCCTTCCCAATCCCCAACAAAAAGCACCTCCATTTAGGCCTAATCTGGACTCCTGGACGCCTCCCTTCGGGGACTGACCAGCCCGCTGCAGCCCCCCAGGGTCCGGCTGCAGACCCGCGGGGGTTGGGGGTTGGGGCTGGGGCGTGGGGGTAAACAGACAGTCCCTGCTTGGAGGCAGGTCGCCAGGTTTCTGGAACATTCAGGAGTAGCCTTTTCTTTGTACCAATCCCCTGGCCCGACGGGCAGTGGGGTAGGGATGAATTTATCAGGAGAGGGAGGGCACGGATCTAATAATGCCCGAACTTTGCGCGTTAGGATCTGGGCTGGTGAAACACGGTTTACTTCCAGCTCCACTGAGAGGCCCCTGCACTCCTCGGGTGTCGAGAACTGGGGGAGTTTCTTCTTCGGGGGGGGGGCAGAAGGGGGTAACTCCCTAGGCCACCCTTGGGTCTGGGGGCAGCTGGAGCCTGCTTTCATCCCGCCCCAAGACGAGAAATGGAAGCCAGGACGTGAGTCCCACAACCCGACCCGAGGTGGGCCAGGCGGTGGGGCAGCAGCTGAGAAAGTGGTGGGAGGAGGTAGGACCTTGCCGCACCTGCCCTCAGAGGGCGGAGTGTGGGCCAGTCCTGCAGGTTGTTTCTCTGTTGTCCCTCAAATTTTAGCCCATCACTAAAGATACAGGAGCAAACACTGAGACCAGGTTCTTAAATTCTTCTATCCTCCTCTGCCCTCTTTGTCCACCAATGAGAGGTCCGGAAAAGCAAAAACTCCGTACAGTCTGCTCTGAAAACTCAGCACAGTTCATGCTTTGGGCAGCGGGTCAAGTCACACACCCTTTATCCCCCCATCCGATCTGTGTCAGACTGGGAAGATGCAACCTCCACTTCCCAGACACCAGCGACCTCCTTGGGACCCTCTTCCCCTCCCCTCACCCCCCTCCCAGATGCACCCAGCTCCAGCCCTCCACCCGACACTGTTTGCAAACTCAAGAGGCTTTTAGAGCAGTTGCCTTTAAATAAGCAGTTCAAGTTCCATGCGTTCCTTGCAAGGGGCAACTGGGTCTGGGAGGGGAGAAGGGGTGGGTGAACTGAGGATTAGAGGTGAAGCTGGCAGAGAAAGAGTGGACAGGGAAGGGCTCAGGCAACTTAAAAAAAAGTATCATGGTCTAGCATGTCTTTCTGGAAACAAGTGAATAATGAAAGAATCTCCATTTAAACACCCATATGGGTCCTTCCAAATCAGTTGGGAAACTGTGTGGTCTTCGCATGACCCTAAAGGTGGAGGTCACATCAAGCCAGAGTCCTGGCCTTTGGCTGTGCTCCTGGCCTTTCTCTAAAGCAGAGTCAGATAGTCCCAGTTGGCACAGACCCTCTGCCTCCTCCCCTCATGAAGTCTCCTCTGAACCAAATACCTATTTACAGAGTGGGGATTAAGGGGATGGAGCCGCCTGTGGCAAGTACCCAGGGATGTATGGCCGAGGGCAGCAATCCAATGGCCTTGGTTCAAAGCAGAATCTACCTCAGAGAAACCGCCCAGCTCTCCAGCGAGAGAGCTCCCAGGCCAACGGGGCCAGGTCCTTTGCAAACGGACTGGCTCTCTCTGACCCAGAGTGGCCCGACCTGGTGAGGGGTCTCCAGGGACAAGGGTACTGGAAGGTCAGGGCTCACTGGGTCGGGTAGCATGACAGGTACAAAGTTACTCTCCGGGAGTGGAGGGGCTGGGAGCGGGCGATCCAGTTCAGGGGGGTGGAGGAGCCGTCTCAGAGCTGCTTTGACAGAGGAAGCCCTTCTGTGTGGCGCGTATGTTTGCTTAAGGGGCTGGAAGAGATTAGCAGAAGCCACCCTTGGGCGCCAACGAGAAAAGCGTCTGCCGAGAGATGGGCACCCCAGAGAGGACAGGGGGTCCGAGTGCCCAGGAGGGCAGTGCCTGTGCGAGTGATGGGAAGGAGGCAGGACACGTCCCTGAGCTCCCTGGACTCCACGCCTCCGCCTCCCTCACCTCGGCCTCACTCCTCGCCCCGACGCTGGCTTCCCCCTGGAGCTAAACGCAGTCAGCTTTCCCGCTTCTTCTCCTCAAGTCCCCCCCACCCCACCCCTTTCCCCAGCGGCGGCTCTCCCTTCTGCCGCCCGAAAGGGTTAACCTCTCCTGCGGGTAAAAACTGGTCCGCGGAGCCTCTAACGGGCGACAGATGGGCCACTTTCTTTGGGCCACAAAGGGGCCGGAATGGAGCTCTCCGCGGCATACAAATGGCAGGTCACGTGCTTCCCGGCTCCTGGCCGGACTGGAGGGACCATATGGCGCGTGCTGGGGAGGATGGAGAAGGGGCGGAGGTAGGGTTGCGGGAGGCTGGAGCGAGAGGAGGAGGAGGGTCGGAGAGGTGCAGGGCTGAAGGGGCGGGGGATGGGGGGTTGGGGGGGGGGAGGCGGAGAGGAGCGCACAGCCCGGACGCATGCGCAAGCGCGGGCGCCCGGACCTGCTGGCGCTCCGCTCCGGCCCCGCCCGCCCTCAGCATCACCGCCTCGGCGGCGGCTATATAACCTGGGCGCCCGCGGCGGGGACACGAGGAACTCGTCCCGCGCAGAAGGCACGACGTCCGGAGGCCCCAGGGTTATGAGACCATCACCGCTCAGGACCTACTAACAACTACAGGTAATGACAATCCTTTCATTTTTGCTTGGAAATGAAAGCAGTAACTGAAGATCTAATGTCCCTAGAAATTCTGTATCTCTCTCTCTCTCTCTCTCTCTCTCTCTCTCTCTCTCTCTCTCTCTCTCTCTGTGTGTGTGTGTGTGTTGAAACAGGCATTCCTCCCCATGATTGCTGGCACCTATACACACATTTCAAATACCTACTGCAAGCTTTCTGATTAAAAAATGTTTTTTAATTGGGAGTGGGGGTAAGAGGAGGTGAAGAATAAAAGCATCTTTGGATCTTTAATAATGCCAATAACTCTCTGGTCATCTGCTAATGGTGATTTCAAAGTCCTGAAAGCAATGCACTACTTTACTTCCTTACTTATTCCACTAGGAAAGAAAAAAAAATACGCCCTTATTACCAAGGTTTATTTTGTGTGCACGTATGTACTGCACGCTGGAAGTGCCAAGTTATTTTTTCGGCGAATGAGAGGGACATGGGTACCTTGGGCATACACACCCCGGAAAACAAATCGAGTGGAAAGTTTAATTGAGAGGAGGGGAAATGTGGAGAAAGGGAGCGGGACTCCCTCTGACTACCTGTTACTGCTCCGGAGGCGGCCGAGTCCCCAGCAGCCACTGCAGAAACCAGAAATTCGGTTGTCTCACTAGAAACGCTTTTTCTGTCTCTTATTAAAAGCGCTAACTTCGCCTTGGCCGGTTGCTGATCATGATAATGACTCCATCTTTTAAAGGGAGGTTTGAGGAGAACTTCGAAAAGGCCCCATAAAGAGCGGGCAGCCTTTTCAATGGGCTGTTTATTAGACAGGAGCCGCCGCACCTGATCCCCGGGCTGGGGAGAGCGCCCTCGCCGCGCCCGCCCCAGCCCCAGCCCCAGCCCAACCCCAACCAGGCGCTTTTGTACAAGGCGGATTTTCAGCGAAGGGCCAGGAGAGAAAGGCGAGTGTGGAAAGGGAGATCCCTGCCCACTTTATTTCTCCCCACCCCCCAATGTTTTGTTGATGGTGAAATCATTTGGTGGAAAGTACTTTTCGTCCACCATGCATTTGCTCTCCAGTCTCCCCGTGGTCTAATCTTCTTAAAAATCACTGACAGCGCTGGTAAATTATGTAATGGCTCTCCAACTTTAATCTCTGAGTGCTGAGAAGCCAGGGCAGAGATGGGAACAGCACTGAGAGGTTCAAAACTCGTGTGTGTGTGTGTGTGTGTGTGTGTGTGTGTGTGTGTGTGTGTAGTTGTGATTTTGAACTCATGCAGATAAGCACAAAGTCACGGAAATGTACACTCGTTTTCACACGTATTATCCCGCCAGGTTATCGCCATAAAAAGACTTAAGTTGTTGGTCACTAGGAAACACACACACATGAGTGTCCATATCCACGTAGTCTCTCTCTCCCCCACCCCCTGCTCTGCCTTGTCTCCTACGTATCAGCGGGGCACACACATGCCATTATAAAACATTGCATTTCACATTTCCTCAGGGACATTCATTTGGTAATGAGTTGTATTTCCCATGCATTTCTACAGGGTTAGGAAGAGGGAGCTGAAGGCATATGAAGTTTTTGAATGTAGCGTGTTTTTTTTTTTTCTCCTTTTTTTTTTTCTTTCTTTCTGGTTTTCTCTCCTCTCCCTTACTGAATGCAGGAAACCGAAACATGACCAAATCGTACAGCGAGAGCGGGCTGGTGGGCGAACCGCAGCCCCAGGGCCCTCCGAGCTGGACAGACGAGTGTCTCAGTTCTCAGGACGAGGAGCACGAGGCGGACAAGAAGGAGGACGACCTGGAAACGATGAACGCGGAAGAGGACTCGCTGAGGAACGGGGGAGAGGAGGAGGAGGAGGAGGACGAGGACCTGGAAGAGGAGGAGGAAGAGGAAGAGGAGGACGACGATCAAAAGCCCAAGAGGCGCGGCCCCAAAAAGAAGAAAATGACCAAGGCGCGCCTGGAGCGGTTCAAGCTGCGGCGCATGAAGGCCAACGCGCGGGAGCGGAACCGCATGCACGGCCTGAACGCGGCGCTGGACAACCTGCGCAAGGTGGTGCCCTGCTACTCCAAGACGCAGAAGCTCTCCAAGATCGAGACGCTGCGCCTGGCCAAGAACTACATCTGGGCTCTGTCGGAGATCCTGCGCTCCGGCAAAAGCCCGGACCTGGTCTCCTTCGTGCAGACGCTCTGCAAGGGCTTATCCCAACCCACCACCAACCTGGTGGCGGGCTGCCTGCAGCTCAACCCCCGGACTTTTCTGCCGGAGCAGAGCCAGGAGATGCCCCCGCATCTGCCCGCGGCCAGCGCTTCCTTCCCGGTGCACCCCTACTCCTACCAGTCGCCGGGCCTGCCCAGCCCGCCCTACGGCACCATGGACAGCTCCCATGTCTTCCACGTCAAGCCGCCGCCGCCGCCGCCGCCGCACGCCTACAGCGCCGCGCTGGAGCCCTTCTTCGAAAGCCCCCTGACCGACTGCGCCAGCCCTTCCTTCGACGGGCCCCTCAGCCCGCCGCTCAGCATCAACGGCAACTTCTCCTTCAAACACGAACCGTCCGCCGAGTTTGAGAAAAATTACGCCTTCACCATGCACTACCCCGCGGCGAGCCTGGCAGGGGCCCAAAGCCACGGATCCATGTTCTCGGGCGCCGCCGCCCCTCGCTGCGAGATCCCCATAGACAACATCATGTCCTTCGATAGCCATTCGCATCATCACGAGCGAGTCATGAGTGCCCAGCTCAATGCCATCTTTCACGATTAGAGAGAGAGAGAGAGAGAGAGGCGCGTCAGCTTCACCACCCCTCCCGGATACGAACCCACTGTGCGGACAGTGACTGTTGTCGTGTTTACAAAAAGGCAGCCCTTTGGGCACTCCTGCTGCAAAGTGCAAATACTCCAAGCTCCAAGTGATATATGTATTTATTGTCGTAACTGCCTTTGGGAGAAACAGGGGATCAAAGTTCCTGTTCACCTTATGTATTATTTTCTATAGCTCTTCTATTAAAAAAAAAAAAGTAGTACAGTAAAGTAAATAATAATAATGCACCATAAATTTGGTGTAGCTGTAGCTCAGATCATGTTAATTATCTGATCGGGATAACAAAAATCACAAGCAATAATTAGGATCTATGCAATTTTTAAACTAGTAAGTGGGCCAATTAATATATATATATATAAATATATATTTTTCAACCAGCATTTTCCTACTTGTTACCTTTCCCATGCTGAATTATTTTGTTGTGATTTTGTACAGAATTTTTAATGACTTTTTATAATGTGGATTTCCTATTTTAAAAAACCATGCAGCTTCATCAATTTTTATACATATCAGAAAAGTAGAATTATATCTAATTTATACAAAATAATTTAACTAATTTAAACCAGCAGAAAAGTGCTTAGAAAGTTATTGTGTTGCCTTAGCACTTCTTTCCTCTCTAATTGTTAAAAAAAAAATTGCACAATTTGAGCAATCCATTTCACTTTAAAGTCTTTCCCTCTCTTTAAAATGAAAACCAGATCCACAATACTCAAGAGGATGAAAAAAAAGTGATGTATTCCCTATCAAACATATCAAATCATTGCTTGCACAAGCTTTTATATACATATTATAAACAAATGCCAACATACCCTTCTTTAAATCAAAAGCTGCTTGACTATCACATACAATTTGCACTGTTTCTTTTTAGTCTTTTACTCCTTTGCATCCTACAATTTTACAGAGAATCCGAAGCTATTGATGTTTCTAGGAAATATAATGCATGATTTTATACATAGTCACACAAATGGTGGTTTGTCATATATTCATGTAATGAATCTGAGCCTAAATCAAATCAGGTTGTTAATGTTGGGATTTATACCTATTGTAGTCAGTTAGTACATAGCTTAAATAAATTCAAACCATTTAATTCATCATTAGACAATAGCTATTGCATGTAAAATGCAGTCCAGACTAAGTGCTGTTTGAGACGTGATACTGGTTCCACTGCAATCGATCTGTACTGTAATCTTGTTTGTAATCCTGTATATTATGGTGTAATGCACAATTAGAAGACACGCATTCAATTGCAATAAAATAGTATTAAAAATCTGAGCAATTGCTGCAGTTCTTTTCAAAGTGATTTTTAGTATAAGTAATTCCTAAGTGGAATAATTGCTTTATTTGCTGAGTTAAGAAAGTACTAAGCAGTATTTAAACAATAAAACAAAAAAAGAAAAGTTTAGCATACTTTCTAGTCTGGTTATCTTGCTTAGGAAGTCATCAGATCTTTGTAGATAAGGAAAGGACCTACGTGATATTTCCATGATATTTCACTATTTGGAATGTGAAGCTGTGGAAGGTGGGGAGTGAGGGGAGATTGTGGAGAGACATATAGTTGTTTTTGCTTTTCTTTGCTTTAAACATCTTCACATTTAGTTTTGGGGTTTTCATTCTTTTAAATTGTTATGTTATGTGTTTTCAATTTTTTAAAGGGGCATTTAGTTAATTAGTTAGTTAATTATTAACAAGCAAGATACAAACAAGTACCCTAGTTTCTTTAGTTTGCCAACATATTAAAAAATATATTTAAAAACTTCACCATTTACTTAGTGCTTTGTTATCTGTATATTTTCCTGAGCAGAAATGTTCTTTAATAGACACCAGTACTACTCCCAAAAGAAAGTTATACACCTTTAGAAAATGCCTGGAAGAAATTATGTAATTAGTTTAAAGAACCCAAGAAGTGGCATTTTGTAATTGTTCTTTAAACACCTTGTGATGATTTCAACAATTTTTTCCAAGACAAAAAGGTAATGAATTACTTTTCCTGAAGAACATACTCTTTGTACTATATTGTTGGAAGGTGCAATTGGGGCACTATTGTGCTCTTTCATAAACAAAATTCACTGGAGAAAGTTACAGATGATTCTGTCCATTGTTAAGTCCACACACACACACACACACACACAAAAAAAAGTTTGGCATTTTGGTTCCTCTGGATGAACTGACTGACAGGAAAGATTCCTAGGGAATAACATTTTGGCACTTGTGCTCTGGCTCTACCCCGGTGCTCTGATTACTGTCATTAGTAACTCCATTGTTCCTCCTCTGGTTCCGATGCCACATTGGATGACTACCTCCTTTCCTTTAATCTCCTTCTCATTGGTGATTTAGGGGTTCCAGAAAGCTGACCTCATTTAGCAAGCTGCTCCAGAAAAATGTGAGTAATCTAATGGACAGGAACAATTAGCTCTACTAATAACATTGCCAATGGGGGTCCATCAAGCTGTGACAGAGGCAGCAAGGATGTTTCAACATTAAGAAAGGTTTGAGTGCACTTTATGATATATTATTTTAGCTTGTTTTCCATCAGCCTTCATCACATGGCAGAAATGCTCTTAAGTTAGTCCTAACCTTATCCAAAATGCAGTATCTCATTCCAAGTGAATCAGAGTTGTTTTGGAATCAAGCTGTTGCTTCCCATATCCAAGATTGCTCTCTCTGCTCTTACTTTAAGAGACACAATAATGGTATGATATCTGAACTGTGCCATCCTCCCAGCCTAGGAGACCATGAAGTGAACATTCAGATCTGGTATGATCTATTCAGCAGCTCGATTTTACCGGTAATTAAAATTAGACATCTTCATGCCAACTAGAAACCGTTGCTATAGTGAACAAAAGGAATAAGAGAATGACATTATACGAATCAAAATAATTTAAAACAGCAAGTAGAGAAATCTATTTTGTGGGTGTTTGTTTATAAAGGAAAAATGAAGACTGCAAGTTAGGTTTGATCCAGCCCCTGCCCCCAGCCATTCCCTCCCCTGTCTTTTTGGGTGTCTAACTTTTTTTCTAAAACATAAGGATTCTTTCAGTCAGTCAAGGAGTAACTCACATGCCACCATCTTTTATTCAAAGGCAGGCACAGATGTTCCTTCTGCAGGGAAGGTTTTAATTTATGAAAATGATATTGTTTATGCATGAATGAACTGAATGCACTCTGCATAACACACAGCACTTCCATCTGATCAGAGAAATGCCACAGAACCAGTGCCAATGTTAGGAACATATTCTGCAAATTTACTCACTTAAATGTTTAATGAATATTTGGAAGACATTTCAAACCACAAGAAACCTTTTTCAATGATCTTTTTTTATTTTCTTTTTGGGTTTCTAGCCATATTTAAAAGAGACTCTTGCAATTTTTATATTAAGTTAATAGCTATATTTAGTTCATAAGAAAAGAGAATGTTTTGCTAAGTGAAAAGCAACTGAAGAAACACTGGGAAGTTTAGTTTCATTGGGAAAGATATTCCTATCAAATAAGATGCTTAGCTCTCTTTATTTAATGTGAAATGTGAAAATGTTCTGAAGAGTTATTTCCAGAAAAAGAGCTGTAATTTTAAATCAGCGAGTAGTTTTAAAATTGGAGATGAAATTTGGCTAAATATTTTAACTGGTGCATATTTCTTTTCAAAAAGAACACTGCATAACTTAGATAACATTTACATCACCAATTGCACTTATACACTATGATCTGTCTACTTTTAATCTTAAAAAGAAAGTTAAAGTCAAATTAAATGAAGAATTATAATATTTTAAGAATATTCTACTAATTTTAGATTTATAATATGTTATAGTAAACATTTGAAACAAATTTGTGTATTAACTTATTAATCTAAAAATACTCCCTGTTTCCACATTTGAAAATCTGTAATTCTTTTAAAATTAATGCATTTCTGAATGTAACTAGCAACTACTAAAATGATATATGGATCATTAGCTAACAGTTTGAACCAAGCTGTTTCAGTTCTAGAATTAAATGAGATTTAAAGTGACAATATCTATTAAACAATTAATAAAACTGGGTTTCAAAACATAGAATGATTTTGTCCTAATGGGAATCATGAAATAGCAAAGCTATTTCTCACACTACACTAAGGTCTCCTGCTCTCTCTTTTCCTCTCCCTCCACCAGCACTTATTTTCTGGAAACAATCTAAATAAAATTTTTAATTCCAGGGTCTGACAAAGAATAAAAGAGCCAGTGCAACATCTTGTGGAACACCAGGACTGAGAACTCTTGTTACCATCGCACAGAGGCGTTCTGGAGTCAGATGCACAGTGATTTGTTTGGTGGCAGAATCATTGGCTCCTGGCCAGGCATTATGTTACAGAGGACACTATTGTCAAGAACCATTCAACTAGAAAGCTGCACTGTATGCACTCAAAAGTTGAGATCATCTGCCTTCCTATGTCAAAAAGAATTCTGTGCTGGCAATTGACTCATGGACCCTCTTCACGCACACTAACACTTGGTTCAATGGCTCTGATGGAATTAGCTGTGTAACCTAACTAGTGGCATCAGCAAAACAAGGCCACAGCCTCTAAGGACTTCTGTTAAATTGCTAATTTTAAAATATCTAAAAATGCACAGTATTATGTTAATGCAGGTCCAGATCTTCAGATACATTAAATGTGGATTTGGTCATCTGAACATTATCATGATGTTTGCCCAGCTAATTCAGAAGTAGATGGATAGTGACAATAACTATCTTTACAGCTCATTAGGTATGGAACAATCCAAAGGGATGGATCTGATTGTGAGATGACATCTAGACATTAGAGAATAAGTTAAATCTCATATAGGAGGTGATTCCGAAACTTGCTTTGCTGTTAACCAGATTAAAATCTAACCCTGCTCTAGGCTTTGATGTCTTGAGGACAACTATCCAGAAAGATGCTCAGTGGGCTTCACATACTTATTTTGTCAGTGTTAAGT